AGGACTTGCAAACTTTGAAAGATCACAAGTATTGGACTTTGTCTGGGATGACATCGGGGTTATAATGATTGAACGCTAGTTTCATCTCAGCGTCCTACTAAACAAAATTGTCGTTGGACGCAGACTACGGGAAACTCAATCTGGCTGAGGGCAAACTTCGTATGTCATCCTGTGTTCTATATTGTCAAAACTATCACTATCTGCATCGTGTTGTACTACCACTGCTATTTATCTGTCGTCTATATGCACATATCAACACGCCCCCGACCTCGTCCGTCTCCTCAGAGAAAGTACCGTCGTCGTCGTTGTCATCGTCGTGGTCGTCGTCGTCTCGTCGTCGTCTCGTCGTCGCTGCTGCTGTGAGCAGCGTCGCTGCCACCGGTCTCTTAGGGCCGCTTCGGCCCTGAAGGTCTGCCAGGGCAGGCCCGGATTGATGTGGATGCCGACAGGGATCGTTCCGGGATGGTCCAGTGATTCCAATCCGGCGCTTCGATGCCGTAATCTTTAAGATAAGCGACCACATGGCCCCTAAAGGGCCAGTCACTCGAGCCCACCGTCTCTGGTCACCGAGCCTGGACCAGAGGACTTGCCATGTTCTGCTGCCAAGAGGGGTCCCTAGCCAGGATTTTGGAAATCGCCCGCCAGTGCTGGCACACCGCCTCTTCTACAGGATCCCCAACAAATTCCTGCATGTCCAGAGCGGCGATGACCGAACCAAGCTTTTGGTGTCTGTTGATCCTGGCGGCCTGGAGCCGCAGCTTGTTGCGGACGGACGGGCTAAGCCCCTGTCCCTGGTGACCCCAGACTCCTGAGGCGAGGACCGAAGCAGTAAAGAGACGACCCCGGGCCTTGCCAGGGCCGATTTTTAAGGCGTGAAGGCGGTTTCCTTGGGTGGGCGGTGGCTACGAGTCGAGGGCAGCCCCTTGACCTGTACGTCATCCGCGCTGACCGCCCGCCGCCGGACCGTCCGCCGCCAGACCGCGGGTCACGGCGCTGGGAATTCTGCTCGACACTTTGCCTACGTGCACGAGCTGCGTCAACGACGGGTGCTCGAAGAGTAGACCTGCAGTGTGCATGGTTGTTGCTGCTGCTGTTGTGCCGCAGCACACGGGCCTTGCGGAGGCGGCAGCTGAAGACCGCTTCGCATCTGCGTGTTGGCCCGTCGCCACCTCGCCCGCGATGTTGGGCGAGCTGGGCTTGCAGTCCCGCTGTGCATTGCGCATGGGCAAGCACGCTGTTCATAATACTAATGACACAGATTGAAAAACATAGTAATAATGGTATTAGTAATAATACATTCTAGGTACATTCATGTCTCCAAGCCCTTTTGAAAAAATAGCATCCAACAATGGGCCAAGCTTGTTGTGACCAGCCTGACCGTCAGATCGAAGCCGGGCATATTGTCTCCAGCATGCATGTACAGGCTCGTGTCTGCCAAAGTGAACCTTCACTGCCCCAATTGTTGTCCACGGGCAGAGCGCATGAGATGATCAATGCACCTAGGGTCCGTGCCTAGCCGTGTCAAAGTCCACATCACTCAGATGCAAGTAGCCACCACCCAAGTTGACCACCAGGGATGCAACACTGACATTCTCCAACTGCACGATGCCCTCGGGACCTTCAGGCACTTGGGAATTGCGGTCTTAGGCCAAGTCACTCCAAACTGGCCTGAAATCGAAAGCGTGCTGCCCAAACTCACTGGACCCCCAATTCGCAGAAGACTTCTCCCACCCGCTTGGAGATTTGCCTGCCAAACTACATGCCATTCCGCACTACCGATGCTGATGCCAAGGCCGCAACCTGCCTGCGTCAACCGCCACTGCACATTGCTTCCGACTTCCAGCTTGGCAGCTGCCTTCACTACATGCGCGCTCGTCTTGGCATTGTGTGCTGCGCTGTAAACTAGGCACCTCTTCTCCTTTGTCATTGGCTGGGCCGGAGCAGCCAAGAAGTAGTCGTCCAAAGCTTATGTCCTCGCATCCATCACATCTTGCACCAATATCCCATATATCCCATGAACTACTAGCAGGAAGTCATTCAGCAAGACTCCAACAGTTCATGGTTGCATTGCGGTTGTGCAAACAACGCAGGCGTTGATCAGAGCTTCGAGACACTTGATGCATGGCGGAATGTAAGTGAGGTCGACGAGGATGAGGTTGATGCATCAGGGAGTGGACTGACAAAGTTGGTACACAAAAAAGACGACATGTCATAAGGACAGCCATAGAAGCTTAGGGATAGATTTAGACAAGGCAGCCACAAACATGACAAAGCATGACTGCCGACGTTGTGAAGGAAAGTGTTAAATCATATGATGATGGTGATGATGCTGGGGTATGGAGGAGAGCCGGACGAGAGGAGGCGGAGAAGGAGGAGGAGGGTGGCAGCCCTGACGATT